GAAAGGCATGGATGCAAGGGCACCCTTGGACAATCACCTCACCTTAGTGGGCCCTGGAAACGACAGGGCCGTTTTTGTTACCGGTTCCGTTTTGCTGTTTTTGTTGCTGGTTCCGACGCCGTTGTTTTACCGGTTCCGTCGCCGTTTTTTGACCGGTTCTGGCTCCAGATCCGATCCTGGAGCCGTTTTTTTGCCGTTTCTGGTCGCCGTTTTTTTGCCGTTTCCATTTTCAATTGACATTTTTGGGGAAACGGTGAAAAAACGGCCCTGCCGTTTCTGGGGCCCACACAGCACCTCACCCTGATCGGGAAGACGTTAGACTCCGGTTCGGGGCAGTCGGGCTGACCTAACGGGGCCACCATGAAAACTGACGAGACCCAATCTGGAATGCCACGAGAACTCCCGCTGTAAACATCCCACAACTACTGGTCGGGCCAAAATGCAGGTCGCCCTCGGGAAAAAGCGTCGGCAAACCAAAGTTCCAGAGTACTCGAGTCTCATGTTTCATCACCCTGATCTAGAAGTACGTTGGGCATGTCCTCCTGCAGGCAGATTTGGAAGAGAAGTGGCCAAACTCAAAAAAGAAGTCAGAAATAGTCAAGAGAGCACTCCTATCGTCACCAGATTCTGCGTTCCACTGCACTGTCTTTTCCTTCTGTAGATGGCCGTGCCCGACTTCAATCCAGGAGAGGGCCAAACGAGCACCGCTGGCGCCTCTGCCTGGCACTTCTGGGAACCGCGACGCCGCGACTCGCTCGCCCCGCGCGGGCTGCTGCCGGGAGGCTCCGGCCCTGGGCGCCAGAAGCCATCCCTCGCTCTTGTTGGCAGCGAGCGCGGGGGGGAACTCAGAAGCTGCGGGCCTCCTCAAAGTTCATCGCAAGGACATTTCTATATCCACCGCTTCGGGGCCGTGCCCAGGGGCTTCGGGGAACACTGGACGTGGATATCTGCTCGCCCCAGAATGTGGGAGAATATCCATATTCAGCACCAGTCGGACTTCCAATCATTGGATGTGAGCATGTTCTGGCGGTGCATCGAAAGGCTCGCAAGCTCCCCGGCCTTCGGAGCAGTTGTCTCAGCCTGTACCCCGAAGACACTAAAAGCTTGCCAGAAGGCGCGAGGGCTTCTAGGAAGTCCCGCCGCCTCATGAGAAGGCCTTGTCCTTCTCACTCCCCCCATTTCGCTCACCCGCGACCTTGAGCAGGAAGTGACCGTCATGGCATCCCTGTAGGCCTGCCACGAGATGCTCTAAAGAAGAAGAGAGTGCCCTGCGCATCCCCAAACATGTTCTGAGAACCTGAAACCGATGTCGTAAACCAAGACGATCTCGACCAGAGACGCTCTAAAAACAAGTCGTGCAAACCACAGAAGGTTCTTAGAACATTCTTTGGTGCGCCCATGGGCAAGCCGGGACGCTTCGCCACTGCCTGACTCGGGAATCTTCTGACCCTGGTCAATCCAGACCCGGGTCAGCGGGAAACCAAAAAACTGCAATGCAGGAAAAAAACTGCAGCGCGGGTCTTCGCAAAACCCGGTCAGCCAATATGCGCGGCCGCCACGCGGCCACGAGCGGCTCGCTAACCCGGGTCAGCCAGAGGGGGTCTTCGCAGGATCCTGCAGGATCTGGTGCCCTGGCTGACCCCCGTTTGCATTGACCCCCGTCTCTTAGGCTCCGACTGACCCTTTGGGATGGCCGTCCGGCACAACTGGTGGCCCCGCTCGACTGCCGCTCGCGTGGGAGCTGGCAGGTTGTCGGGCTCGGCGGTGCGGCAGCCTGCGCGCCGTCGCCCTCCTCAGCGAAGGGCGGCACGGCCCTGAGTCTGGGCGGAAGTGGAAGGAGGAGGAGGACGAGGAGGAGGAGGAGGAGGAGGAGGAGGAGGACGACGAGCAGGATGAGGAGGAGGAGGTGGAGGAGGACGAGGAGGAGGGAGGAGGAGGAGCAGGAGGAGGAGGAAAAGGAGGGAAGAGGAGGAGGAGGAGGAGGAGGAGAGGAGGAGGAGGAGGAGGAGAGGAGGAGGAAGGAGGAGGAGGAGGAGGAGGAGGAGGAGGGGGAGGAGGAGGAGGAGGAGGGGATGGGAGGAGGAGGGAGGAGGAGGGGAGGAGGAGGAGGAGGAGGAGGAGGAGGAGGAGGAGGAGGAGGGAGGAGGAGGAGGAGGAGGAGGAGGAGGAGGAGGAGGAGGAGAGGAGGAGGAGGAGGAGGAGGAGGAGGAGGAGGGGAGGGGGGAGGGAGGAGGAGGAGGGGAGGAGGAGAGAGGAGGAGGAGGAGGAGGAGGAGGAGGAGGAGGAGGAGGAGGGGAGGGAGGAGGAGGATGAGGAGGAGGGGAGGGAGGAGGAGGAGGAGGAGGAGGAGGAGGGAGGAGGAGGAGGAGGAGGAGAAGCAGGAGGAGGAGGAGGAGGAGGAGGAGGAGGGGCCCGACCCCCCACCCCCTGCCCCACCAGTGTCCGGCACGTCCGTTGGTCGCACTAGCCTGCGGATCTGGTCCATCTGGGTGATCTCCGGGGACAGGCCGCCGTGCATGCAGATGATCTGCCCGGGCCCCAGGGGGGGCGGTCCAGCCCTCCACTGCCCCATACAGGGCAGTTTTTAAGACATTGGATTTTCAAAAATATAGTCTTTAAGAATGTTTCATGTATGAATCAATGTATGCATGAACTCATCGTGGTTTCAATACTAAGCCCCTGCATTTTGAATACATGATCCGCACGCGGAGCATGTATTAAAAACGGCACTGTACTTCCCCTGGGGAGGACTCAACTTCCTGCTCCTCTCGCCCCGCTTGCACCTCCGTGCAGAGCATCCCCTCCCTCTCACCCCTGCCACCTCTCCCTCCTGCCCACTCCGACCCTCTCCCGGCAGGCGGAGCGTGGACCGTCCACGGCCGTCCCATCAACTCTGGGTCCCCCCCCCCTCGCACGCGCTTCTGCGGTGGAGGGCAAACTCTGCCATCGCCCTGACCAAAGGAACGATAAATAAGGAACGAAGCCCCTTTTTCCAAGGAGTAACGCATAGGGAACGATGAACAAATAATACATAACGCATAGGGAACAATAAATAACGCATGCAAGCCTAAGGAACGACCGAGCCCCTTTTGAAAAGTAAGCGTTCCTTATTCAAGCCGCTCACTGTATTTCAAGACTCTAGCCAAGCGGCCCGTTAATGTTGAGCAAGTAGCGGCCACCCGAATCTCCCAGGCCACTTCGGGCTCAAGTGGTGTAGGGCGCTGCCGCTTCCAATAACCCCCTTCATCCACTTCCAGGAGAGGAGGCTCACCACTGCGACCTATGAATAGGCCCTTCCTCGTCCGCTTGACCCGGCGACTCACAAAGGGTCAATGCATACAGCCCCCCACAGTCCTTGTCAAAAAAAACAAAAAATAGCGCGCGTCGTGGCGAACTCTGGGTCATGTCCGGGTGGCCCGCGATCGATGTGTATTAGGTTTGATCAGGACGGCGGGGGGTACACCCTGCGAAATGCTTAAGAAATCATGGGTTAAGAAACTCATAGTCTCAGAACTTGGATAAACAAAAACCCAACATTTCTATGAAATTCTTGGGATTTACATTGAAACATTAAGAATCATCGAGTCTGGCCGAAAACTTGGGTTTTCTTAAGCATCGCCTAAGGTGTATTAGCTTCGACCAGGGCGGCGGGGGGTTATCGTAATTGCCCCGCGTGTGCAGGCCCTACGAATATCCTGTCCGCAACAAACATGCAAAGTGGGAAACGTATGCCGCGGCAAAAAAAAATTGACCGTGCGCGGACGCCGTGCGAACACTCGACCAGGCTCCCAAGAGGCCCCCAAACATCCCCCCAAGAGGCCCCTGAGAGCGCTCGGAAGACACCCCAAGAAGCACGCTTGAGGACCCCACCCACGTCACCATCGTCGGCGTCGCTGCCGCCGCCGCCGTCGTCGTTCCCCTTCAGGTTCGGCGGCACCGGCCGTAAGGCCTTCGCAATATTTGACCATGCGCGGACGCCGTGCGAACATTCGACCATGTGATTTCACACAGAGGATCGGTGGCTTCGCACACTGTGCGGAATGCGCGGGCCAACCATACGTGTCAAAAGCACGTGCAAGGTGCTCGCGGGTTCACGCGCCGTGCATCATGCTGACCATCACGCCGCCACGTTACACTGTTTCGATGAGGGTGGTGCTGGGTCGACGTACTTAGGGGAACAACAAGTGACAGAAACATAAAAACTCGGAGAGACGGGATATACGGCTGTAGGGCTATAGGACTATAGGGCTATAGAGCTATAGGGCGATAGGACTATTGGGCTTCGCGCACCTGGCTGGCGTCCGCATTGGTTCCCGATGGTTGTCGATGGCGACCCCTGCCTATGCTGATACTAGGCTGCTACTTATGTCGTCGGAGGGCGGGTGGGAGTGAGCGAGACAGCTTGCGGTGGACTCACGAACTTGATCCCTCCCCCGCCCCGACCCCCCTCCCTGGGTCTGGACGAGGGGGGTTGCCAAGTCCAAGATGGTTCAAGATGCCCCACGATAGTTATCCCAAGGTGGCGTTAGATTGCCTCGATAATGCCTTCACGCAGGCCCAAAGACCCCCCCCAAGACGACTCCAAATTTCCACTAAACCTTCCAAGGATGCCCCCAAGACGTCAAACTACAAAAGCAACGGAACACCAGCGATGCGTGTCCGCCCCAAACCTTAAGAACACTTTTCAAAACTTATTTGGGACGCGCTGGGGGCCTTCCTGGGGCGCCTTGGAGATCTCTTGAGCCGTGTTGAGGCCCTCTTGAGCGCTCTCGGCACCCGTTGGGCCGTCTTCGGGTCATCTTGGGTCCTCTTAGGCGGTCTTGGGGTCCGGATCCGAGATTTCGGCGGGACGGGGGCTGTCGGCCGCGAGCAAGAGCACCGCCTTAAATAAAAAGGCAGGAAGTCTCAAGCGGGAGCGTTGTTGTTGCTGGGGGGCGGCGCCGATGAGAGAAAGAGTAGCGCGCCTGTCCAAGGTAAGAAGGGAGGAAGTCTCGAGCGGGAGCGCTGGTTTTGTTGAGACGGCTCCTTGCGGCGGCGAGCAAGAGCACCGGCCCTGAGTAAAAAAAAAAAAAGGAAATCTCGAACGGGAGCGTCGTCGTTGTTGGGGGGCCGGTTTTGGCGGTCCCCCAAACAGCTCGAGAGCGAGCTTTATTTTCAATGAAAATGCAGCCGGCGCTTCGGTGATAGCGCCGGGGCGCTTGTAAGGGGTTTAAAAATATCTATTTAGTAATTAACATTCAACATCAACAACAACAGCAACAGCAACAGCAACAACAACAATCAGTTTAAGACTGTTCGATGTTATTTATTCGAGTGTCCGCCAACGTGTATTTCCCAAACTCTCGATATCCGCCCTCTTCGTCTTCGATCGTACCCCTGTTGGGGGGTATATTTTTGTTCCCCTGTAGGCTGGGCCTCGGCAAGCGGCGGGGCGTCCGCGGACCGTCGGCCTGGCCAGCGGCAACGCTGATCGGTGGCAACCCGACCCAAAGAGGGACGGACAGAGGACCGACCACGACGACGACGACGACGACGACGGCGACGGCGACGGCGACGACGACGAACGAAAGCGAGAGCGAAAGCGAGAACGAGAGCGACAGCGGGGCCACGAAGGGCAGGAAGGGGGCCACGAAGGGCGACAGCGGGGCCAAGAAGGGCATGCGCATGGGGCCACGAAAAATGCTGACAAGCGGGGACCACGAAGGGCAGATAATGCGGGGCCACAAGGGCCGACGACGGTGCCACGGAGGGTAGCAACAGGGCCACATAGAGCAGCGAGGGGGCCACAAACGGCAACGGGGCCACGAAAGGTATGCATATGGGGTCACCACGGGCGCGAACGAGCGGGGGCCACAAAGGGCATACGTATATTGGACCTTAGAGGGCAAGGAGGGGGCGACTGAGGGCAGCAACGGGGCCACGAAGGGCAGCGAGGGGGCCACGAAAGCCTGCGACGGGGCCACGAAGCGCATGCATATGGGACCACGACTGGCGCGAACAGGCTGGGGCCACGAAGGGCATACATAATGGGGCCACGAAAGGCAGCGAGGGGGCCACGAAGGGCTGCAACGGGGCCACGACGGACAGCGAGGGGCCACGAAGGGCTGCAACGGGGCCACGACGGTCAGCGAGGGGCCACGAAGGGCTGCAATGGGACGACGAAGGGCAGCGAGGGGGCCACGAGGGGCCACGAAGGGCAGCGAGGGGGCCACGAAGGGCTGCAACGGGGCCACGAAGGGTAGCCGGGGGGCCACGAAGGGCTGTGCCGACATGATCCGTCGGCACTGGGGCTGCGACGGCGGCATGGGCTGGCGCTGCCGCGCTTGGGGCAGCAGCTCGGTGCGCGGCGCGCTGCGGCGGGTGGAGCTGCCGCCGGCCGCCTGGTCGCGCCACGGTGCTGGCATGCGCAGTTCTCAAGACCAGGATAGGTACCGCTGGTAAGCGACTCCGTGCACTGCTCTGCAACGCTGTGGTGTGCAGCGCTGGGCTGCGCATTGCCAGGGCATGCAACGGGAGGAGGGAGGGGGGAGGGGGGAGGGGGGAGGGAGGAGGGAGGAGGGAGGAGGAGGGAGGCACGCCGAACAACCCTATGTGACGTGCCGCTATGTGATACCATGCTTTGCGCAGCGATGTTATGGCATGCAATGCTTGACCTTGCAGGATCGCGGTCCCCTTCGACACCTGCTTTGCGCGAACGGAAAGGAGCTCTACGCAACGGTCAAGAATGGGAGCGGGTCGGACGTCAGATGCAGTCGGACCCAGGCCAGAAGAACATCCCTCATGAACACGGAACCCTCCGTGGGCCAAAACATACAGCGCATCCAAGGGTACCCTCCCCAGGGTGTAGAAGAACAACCAACAAATGCAAAGAACACTAGGTACCCCTCCCCGAACCGACTTTGATCTTGTACCTCGGTCCGACTGTATGACGTGAGGGCACCCAGGTTGCCTCTTTCCCTCTCTCTTAGAGGCCTCCTAGATGGGGCCCGAGGAGATGGAGTCGAAGGATCGCGCCACATCACCAATGCTTCGCCGATGCATCGGCGATACATTGGCGGCGTCGGCAATGCATCGGTGGGGAAATACGGGCTCCACATCGAGACGTATCATCGCTGCATCGGCGATGCGGCGTCTCCGACCCAATCTACTCCGACCCCATCCCATCCAAGAGGCCTAGATCTCCACTGCTTCCCTCTCCCTCTCGCCATGTCCGCCTCTCTCACCCTGTCCGTCCCCTCTCCATCTCACCTTTGTCCGTCCCCTGTCCGTCTGGGAGGGGAGGAGGAGAGGATGGGAGGGAGGAGGGGGAGGATGGGAGGGAGGAGGGGGAGGAGGAGGAGGAGGAGGAGGAGGAGGAGGAGGAGGAGGAGGAGGAGAAGGAGGAGGAGGAGGAGGCGGAGGAGGACGATGTGGAGCAGGAGGAGGCTGAGGAGAAGGACGAGGACCAAGGCGAGGACGAGGGGAACGAGGGCTCTCCTCCCCCCTTGCCCTCCTTCTCATCCACGAGGGCGCACACCGGGAGGCAGTTGAACACGTCGCAGAAGGTCTTCCTGGGCGGGGCCGCCCGCCCCCCCCTGGCAAACGAGCGCCCCCCCCTGGCATCTTCCTTCTGCTCTACATCGTCACCCTCCTTGACCTCCTCCTTCTCCTCCTCCTCCTCCTCCTCAGCCCCCTGCTCCTCATCATCCTGTTCCCCTGTTCCTGAAGGTCCGCAAACGGGTGAGCGATCCTGTTTCGACACCACACTGTCGCTCTGGCTCTGCGCACGCGCTTTGCTCGAAGCCTCCACCAGCTACATGGAAGACGCCCCCCTCTCGCACTGGTTGAATGTTGTAACGTGGTGCGGTCGAAAATCCGCCGGCCCCCTTGTGGGGCCGCCAGGCTGTAGGCGCGTGATTCGCAGTTTCCTGTACCAGTTGAAGTTTCTAGTTTCCAGTGTTACAGTTCTGCTTCTTGCTGGTTACTGTAACTAGTTGACTTCTTGCTGGTTACTGTAACTAGTTGATTGACCGCGCGAGGGGGGGGGAGGCCCAAACAGGATTTTTAGCACCCCCTGGGCGCGTTGTCTGAATTGCTGGGGGGGCTCGAAATCGACACCCCTCACGCAGATCCGCGGGGTCAGGGTCCAAAAACACAAGGGATTTGCCACATTTCTGAAATTCGGTGCCACCCCTCACGCAGATCCGCGGGGTCAGGGTCCAAAAACACAAGGGATTTGCCACATTTCTGAAATTCGGTGCCACCCCTCACGCAGATCCGCGGGGTCAGGGTCCAAAAACACATGGGATTTGCCACATTTCTGAAATTCGGTGCCACCCCTCACGCAGATCCGCGGGGTCAGGGTCCAAAAACACATGGGATTTGCCACATTTCTGAAATTCGGTGCCACCCCTCACGCAGATCCGCGGGGTCAGGGTCCAAAAACACAGGGGATTTGCCACATTTCTGAAATTCGGTGCCACCCCTCACGCAGATCCGCGGGGTCAGGGTCCAAAAACACATGGGATTTGCCACATTTCTGAAATTCGGTGCCACCCCTCACGCAGATCCGCGGGGTCAGGGTCCAAAAACACAGGGGATTTGCCACATTTCTGAAATTCGGTGCCACCCCTCACGCAGATCCGCGGGGTCAGGGTCCAAAAACACAGGGGATTTGCCACATTTCTGAAATTCGGTGCCACCCCTCACGCAGATCCGCGGGGTCAGGGTCCAAAAACACAAGGGATTTGCCACATTTCTGAAATTCGGTGCCACCCCTCACGCAGATCCGCGGGGTCAGGGTCCAAAAACACATGGGATTTGCCACATTTCTGAAATTCGGTGCCACCCCTCACGCACATCCATCGCAAGGCGTGGTAACCCAAACTGCGAGTACTCCCTCGGCCCTTTAATCCCAAGGTGTGGTAACCAAGCTCGTAAACCATACACGTCTTACCAATCGCCCTGTGTGGTAACCCCTCTTGTGATCAGTTGGTTTTGCCGATTGCGAATCGGCCTCGCATGAAGTTCCGATACTGCTGCACGACAGCGCCAAAGCCTCATGACTTAGCTCTTCCATGGCCCATTCTCCGAGAGAGGGGGCCGGCGGCAGGGGGCGAAGCCCTTACGGATAAGTGCATAATCGCACATAGGAGTGTCCATGCAACGTCAGGTGAGGTCTCCCTTTTCCGACGGTCGCTCGCCGTAGTTGTGTCTGGACTTCGAAGAAAGAACTTGGACATGGAAGGCTGGTTTCAGTAACGATGCTGTATGTCCGGTCTACCCTGGTCCGATCGAATCACTCGTTGCAAACCTGGGTATACGCATTGTCGCGGTGCGATGAAGCCAGGCGCGCGAAAATCAGTTCCATGGATGGCGACGGCCAGGAAGGGGGGCCAGGGGAAGGACAAAGAGAAGCGTACGTTGCCGTACCCGATGCTGGCCTGGATAAGACACATGTTTGATGAGCCCTGGTGCACACTTCTGTCCGTGGGCCTGGCAGCGCAGCGGGACAGTGCAGTCCAGAGCTTGATGTTGTAGCGCCGCTTGCACTCGTCGTAAAAGCCGTAGATACGTGTGATCGACGCGCACTCGTGATTGCCTGCACCCCGTCCCTCGCCCCCATCGCTACTTCCCCCCACCCCTCCCTGCCTCCCCTCCTTGTCCTCTCCCTCCCCCTCTCCTCCTCCATATCCCTCCCTCCCCTCCTCCCCCCTTCCAGCCCTCCATCCCTCCTGCCCTGTGTATCCTTCCCACATGGCCCGCGGTGTGGGAAAAACAATTGTTTTTGATATGAACAATGTATGTATAACAATGATCCCAAGACCAAGATGGCCGCCGAGGCTCCAACTGGCTCAGTAGATTCAACCACAGAACTGTATACACAGACGCCCCCCCGACGAATTTCACGTGTACCTTAAAAGGAGGGTGTAACAAATCGTTGGCTCCCACTTGTGTTGTATATATCACCGCCCTCTCATGAGGCCCAAGAGCAATCCATTGGAGAGTTTGTGTATGTGCGTGTAAGTGACAAGGGCCGAATGTTGCAACAGAAAACACGCAACATCCCCCACGGAGTCCCCGGTATTGCTCGAGATGTCGGAACAATCTGGCCTCATTCGGACATGTGGATAGCTGGACAAATACTGAAAATGTGAGGTTGCCCCAACCCAATGAGGACCTCGTCTGGCAAGACGTGCGGGGGGGAGCGGCGAACAACCTGACGTCAAACTCAATGGGTGACAGTTCATGCGCGCAGAACTACAACAACCCACTGGGCATCTACGTCAGATTCGTGTCGTGCCGACTTCGGCATTGGTTTCTGACAGCACGCGATTAGCCGTTTCCTAATCGTCCAAATCGTTCCACATCGAACAATTCTGGGTCGCGTTGAACGCCGCTGGCGGGGTCGCCGCCGGTCGACAGGGCACGAACCTACCGTACACAAGCCGTAGGCTCTAAGTGACAAGAGGAATTGGTCCAGAATCGCTTGGCAGACGGTACCTCAAATATATGCCACCGGGTGCATCAGCTGCATGGGAAGCGCGAGAGCTGCACGGACCCGAAGGACAGGACAGAGAAGGACGACGACCAAGGCCCCTGGCTCGACAAGGAAGCGGGGCGAGAACGAGGGGCAGGAGAAGAACGGAAGAGGGGCCGAACAGTTGACGCGACAGCAGTAGTGAGACGGCGAACTAGAAAAGAGGACGACAACAAGTGCCTACCTCCCAGACCGCCCCAACCCAACCCGAAGGCCCGAATTAGACCCGAATTTCAGGTTGGGGGGTACGAGCTTCATAATGATGTGTTTTTTTCCATGCTCCCCGACCCCCCCCCAAGGGAACTGAAGGGCACATCGGGCCCGTCGGGTTGGGTTGGGGTGGTTTGGTGGGCCGTGAACAAAGGAGAGACATGATGAGGGAAGATGGCGGTTGCCATTTCCAAAGGAAGGCACGCTGAGACAACAGCGCCAGCCCTCGCCGTGTTGCCCGGGCGCTCCAGAGGACCAGGTGCGCATAGCTGGTGCAAGACACGAGCGAAGCCGACCGCGCCCACCAACGTCGCCGCTTCCGTCCTGTCCCGTGCAGCGTGGGAACTGTTCGCCCGCAGGCGCGCGACCGGGCCTTCGAGACCCGCGGGACGTCGCTCCGCTGGACCCGCCAGCAGCCCTCGAAACTGGCGAGGGCTTCGCAGATCGCAGCCCCCCCCATGGATGGAAAGATCTGCTTTAGGTCCGCGTGGGACGTCGCTCTGCTGGACCCCCACCAACCCTCGAAAAGTTGCGGCGGCTTCGCAGATCGCAGCCTCCCACGGATGGCGAGGTCTATTTCAAGTCTGCGCGGGACGTCGCTCCGCTACTCCCCAGCAGCCCTCGAAAGTGGCGACGATTTCGCAGATCACATACCCTCACGGATGGCGAGGTCCAATTGAGGTCTGTGTGGAACGTCACTCCGCTGGACCTCCCAGCAGCCCTCGAATAGCAACTGTTTCGCAGATCACAGCCCTGAACGGATGGCAAGGTCTAGTATAAGTCTGCGTGGGACGTCTCACGGTTGTACCAACCAGCAGCCCTTACAAGTGGCGACGGCTGAGCAGATCGAAGCCCCTCACGAATGACGAGGTCTGATTTAGGTCCGCGTGGGACTTCACTCCGCTCAACCTCCTAGCAGTCGTCCAAAGTAGAGACGGTTTCGCAGGTCGCAGCCCCTCCCCCCCTGTACGTCGAGGTCTAATTGAGGTCCGCATGGGACATCACTCCGCTGGACCCCCAGCAGCCCTCGAAAGTGGCGACACTTTGGCAGATCGCAGCCCACCACGGAGGATGAGGTCCAATTGAGGTCCACGCGGGACGTCACTCCGCTGGATGCCGAGGTCTGATTTAGAGCCGCGCGGGACGTCACTCCGCTGACCTCGCAGCTGCCCTTGAAAGTGGCGACTGTTTCGCACATCGCAGCCCCCTACGATTGGTGAGGTTCGATTGAGGTCCACGTGGGACGTCACTCTGCTGGACCCCCCAGTAGCAGTTAAGAGTTAAGATGTCGACGGTTTCGCAGATCGCGGACCCCCCCAGGGATGGCGAGGTCTAATTTAGGTCGGCATGGGACGTCACTCCGCTGGACCCCCAGCAGCTCTCGAAATTGGCGACGGCTTTGTAGATCGCAGCCCCCCAGACAGCCCCAAAGGCAGGACGACGAGGGGAGGTACAGTCGGACTTGAAAGGAGAGGACGCACGAGAGGACACAAGACTCTTCCGAGGGCCAAGTTGCCACAGCAATGCAGGGGGCATGGGCCGCAAGACACAGGACACGAAGATACCCGTGATCTGGCAGGGTCGACCTACTAATCCGAGCCGCCTGCAGGAGGCAGGATGGCAGACAGGCTGACGGGGCGAGGAGGAGGTAGGAGGGAATCCAGGTGACACGCGCGCAGTGCTCTCTTCAGAGCGAGAAGCCCAACGCAGGAGAGTTTGCAACAAACGCGAGCGACTCGCCGGCGAAAGTCCTGTGCTCAGCCTCGCACGC